AATACGAATCTGGCCCTAAATATGCTAGGTATTATTATCTGAGATGAAATGAGCAAAACCACTCCTCTTGTTGGTATCAGCACAGCAGCTCAAGTACCAGAAACACAGATTCCAAACTTTAACAGTTATTTTAAATTACATATTGCTAATAGAAAATCTATTCTTTAATAAGAATATGGGGTCATGAGACAAAATATGCATATTCCGTGTTGAGCCATTCTGCTATGCTTCAGCACATCCAAGGTGTACATATATTGGCTGTTTAATATACACCCTGTGGTGTGTTATTGCTTACCTAAGGCCTAGTACTGCATGACCTTGTTGTTTCTGTTAATTATGTTTTCTCGTCTAGAAAAGTAAGTTTACTCATTCTGTATTGTGCCAAACCACATAATCCGAAAAGGACTATTGTGGCTCCAGTTGGAAAGACCTCACTTGGCTTCAGCCATCACTGGGAAAGCGCTATAGTCTTTTATTATTTTAACTGGCCAAATGCCCTTTTTCCCCACATTAGCAGCCTCCCTATGGTGCTTGTAACCTTGATATTATTTTCACTTTTATGCTAAATTTCACCAGATGAAAGACATAAACCCTCAAATTTCAAAAGAAAAAAATAGAATGTTTTGTTAACTCCATATTTCAGAAACAAAGCCTGTGAAAATTATAACCTATGTCTGCTGGCTGCAATTGTGTTCAGTAAAGCCATCTTGCCAGCTGTTCTCATTGGCAAAAGGAAACATAATATTTTGGTATCTTTAATTTGTCCATTCCAGAGGAGAGTTTTGCTTGTGTCATCATTTAAACCATACATGCTAACATCAGTCTGGCAAACATAGCACTTTATACAGACTCAGTTTTGGACAGTAGCACTATGATGTTGCAATAAAGCAGTTTTAGAATATTATATCTAATTTAAATTGTTTTCCTGAGTGTGGATTACTGCAGGTGTTCTGCATGGCTCTGCTGAAAAAGTGTTTTGTATTTGTTCTAATTAAAATCCTAACGTAGATGTGAAAACAAACATGCATGTCTTAGGGCCTGATCCTGTCTTCGTTGGGAGTTGAGGGTGCTCATCATCTGTAAGGACTGAGCCTTTAGTGACATGCCTTTTATTGTGATCTCGAATGACATTCAATGCCCACAGCTCCGTCCGAGGTGACCAGCAAACAGCAACTCTTATTATCAGGCCTTAGAGAGAAACAAGTATGGTGTTGTAGCTTGTGCATAGGGGCAGGAAACCTGGAGTTCCAGGAGCTGTCAAGCCATTATTTAACAAAATCACACAGCAAATAAGATAAGAACCATTTAAGTGTATTTATTCTTAAGGCAAGACGGCAGGATTTACAATATGCATATACCCCTCTGTTGCCTGATTGGTTGAGCTGTTATTGATTATTCTGACTGTGTTGATTATTTTAAAGAATCCTTGTTGAGGTTGCAGGAATAAACCATCCCGATGTGTAGAAAGAATAGTAAATATGGCAGGTGACCAGCTTGGCTTAACAGTGAAATCCTTGCTGATCTTAAACACAAAAAATAAGCTTACAAGAAGTGGAAGATTGGACAAATGACCAGGGAGGAGTATAAAAATATTGCTTAGGCATGCAGGAGTGAAATCAGGAAGGCCAAATAACACTTGGAGTTGCAGCTAGCAAGGGATGTTAAGAGTAACAAGAAGGGTTTCTTCAGGTATGTTAGCAACAAGAAGAAAGTCAAGGAAAGTGTGGGCCCCTTACTGAATGAGGGAGGCAACCTAGTGACAGAGGATGTGGAAAAAGCTAATGTACTCAATGCTTTTTTTGCCTCTGTCTTCACGAACAAGGTCAGCTCCCAGACTACTGCACTGGACAGCACAGTATGGGGAGG